AAAATATAATCTCTGTCTCTAACTATTTTAGCCTAAGTATAAGGGGGAAAAATAGATAAATCCAGAAAAAAAAAATTAACCTCCCTCTTCCCCACTAGAGAAACTAATGGCAGATTTAATGCTCTCCTCTGTATTACTAAGTGAGTCGCTATGAGTCAGTTATGGGAATCCCTCAGGTGCTGTAGCAGGGAGTACGTACCTTACAGTGTACACAGCCTGCCCTTTATTCCAAGAGCTTCCCCCCCCCCCCAAGATTAATTTTACCTGCTGCAAAGTTACTGCTAAAGTCAGCAGCAGATGCTGTCTGAAGATGGCAGTGTGTTCTGGGTTGCCTTAGGTAGGTGTCAGGGTCACTCTGTCTCCTCTCTGTATTTGGGTAGTAAAACCTACTGAGGTGAAATAGATTGAGCAATGTTATGTTGCAGAAACCTTGCTAATGATGGCTGTTACCATGATACAGATTTTCTGTATCTAAAATTGTGACTGGCTGCAATGTTTTTTTTGCCAAAGTGTTTCACTTGTTCATCATTTTTGCCTGTGTTTTCACTCTGCTTGAAGAATTTTGCACTTCTTTTTGGCAGTGGTTTACAAAGGAAGTCTCATTTAGGAGTTGTTTGGGAAAAGCTTTGTTTCTTTGACCTTTATTTAGAGGAAAAAAAAAAATCACGTACAAGAAAGCCCTGTGACTTGTCTCTGGATATTTAAAGGCATAAAATCCTAGTTCACATCAGACTTAAGTTTTCAAGAATTTCTGTGGAATGCAGCATGTACTTTTTGCTTTCTGAATGTTAAGCATCCATGTAAACATTTCTAGGTCCTGATGCTAAAACATTGCTTAAGCAGTAACTTTATTGCTTAAGAGTTCTTATCCTAATGTATATGGGCTAGATTTATAGGAGAAGGAAAACTCTTAGGATATCTAAATGAGAAAATATAAAATAGATTAGGTGCTTATTAACTGCTTAGTAGCTGACTGGAGCCTGCAAGGTATTTAGGTGACTGCTACTGCGCTCTAACGTGTGTGATGCGCTTGTCATGTTACATCGTTTTGTCCTGATGGAGCTTTCAAGAATGGCACTGAGGAGCTGCTCAGTTGTGTAGTTCCTGCTTTCACGTCTCTGTATTCAGCAGTGATCTGACTGGAAAGAGCCAAGGGAAAAGTAGATTTTTTTTTCCATGGCAGACACCTTTCTAGAAAACAAGTTGATACTAAGGTTCATTTTTTCTCTTGGGTATGGAGTGACAGTGTGAAGCAGGAATCAGTTAATGCAGAAATTAGGATAACTATATAGCAATCCTTTTGAATTCTTTAAACTTCCTGTATGTACTGAGCAGTCTTGCTTCAGTGAGTATTGATGAAGTGTTCTGTTTCTTTATTTGTGCCAGTAGACTCAGTTCTTCGGACTTTCTTCAATAGCTTGACAAGCTGAGTTGCCACTAGGTATATTCCCATTCAAAGACAGAGATGTTGAACAGAAGGTGAAAGGGTACAGTCAAAAGCTCACAGCCAACTGAAGCTTTTAGAGGAACAGAAGACTACCACAGGTGCAGCTCCGTTCCAGTTTAAATGCAAAGTGTACTTCCCTCAGCTGCAGCAGGTTATTAACTTCCCCATTTTAAAAGTTACATGGGCAGTAATACCAAAATGTCACGACAGAGTAGTTAAATGTTGTGGAAGTGAAAAGGGCTAATTTCTATGGAAATTTGGTCTTAATGAATTATCCCATCACCTTGGTATGGAAGGAAGTGCTTGGTGCATGTTTCCTGGTGGTTGAAACCCTGACCTTGTCAAAGCCGTTAGCAAAACTCCCGTTGGCTTCACAAGGGGTCAGCTATTTGTGTTTTCAGAGGATTTTGAGGAACTCAGTGCTAACAAGCAAAGGATATGTAAGTAAGAGTGTTCATTTGGTTCAGATGCCCCTGTTGCTGTGAGAACTAGAATGAGGAAGAAGTTCACACTTCCCATTTAAAAAATAATAATAAACAAATAAAACATTTTCCTTTGAGCTGTTCAGTTTGTTTTTTCTTGACTTAAGGAGTTTGTGGTGAAGATTGGGAAGTGATGAGAGCTGATGGCTGACCCCATCCCTCTCTCTCTAGTCCTCAGGCTGGTAGCTTACCCTGTCACCAACCTGTATTACTAACATGCTCAGGGTTAGCATTATGGGTGGAAGAATTTGTATGGAGTAAAACAGCTGTGAATTTATTCTGCTATCCTACAAATTTGCTGTAAATCTCAATTGAAATATGTGTGTCTATACAAAGAATTGTATCAACAATTAGATCTACATGTGCAGACAAAAAGCTAAACTATATTCTGTGGACTTTGCAATCTATCATCTGAACGTCCTCTCACTATGTGTTGTCTTTGGCTGCCCAGCTATGTATCTACAAAGTTAAAAAGCTGTCTTATGTATTAGACAATCTGTACATTTGTCAGTGTAGTGCAGTGTAGCTTGTTCAAAAATACTTACAGTTAGCTGTAGAAATCTTCTAGACAAAAAAAAGAAAGTCAATCACTGCTTTTGTCAAGACTTGGATGAAATATTCTGTGTGTCTCTTGATTCTAATGCTGTTGCTGAGAGCAGTGTAACAAGCAGCTGTCTGGTGAATACAAATATGAAGTGAAATGTGAAGAAATGTGAAAAAACAATCGTGAAGGACTAATTCAGTTCTGTAGCCTTTCTGCACAGGCTAATTTGGTCTTTTGCTGCCTCTTCTGAGCAGCTGCATTTTAATGTTTAACTTTTAATATTAAATATATTTAACTAAAAGGTATTTTTAGCCAGTGCTAGCATTGTAGTTAGCATGCTACTAATGTGTCTAGAAATAGTTGTAACTTTTAAAAGAAACAACGTCAACAGTTCTGAGAAATCTTCAGACTAACTTCTTGTAGGTGGATTGTTTGGATTTTATGCCTAAAATTGTATTTTCCACTAAACTGATAGAATTTCCTTACTTAGTCAATACAACAAGGCATAGAGCCATTTATTCACTATAAAGTTTGCGTGAGTTTGGTCTTGCAATACGAATTCCATGCAATGTTGCCTAGAGTTTCCAAAAAGATCAAGGGTTGTTATGCCAGCCTCGGACCATATAAGTGGGATTTAGGCTGGCTGGCTGACTGACTTCAGACTCTAGTCTGTGACCCAAAATAACTTGAATCTGCATGTGGCGCAGACAAAGACAGGAAACAATACTGCAGAGAGCTAGCATGACTCGGGGGCTATTGTGCAGTAAGTATGTAGAAGAGTATAAGTACGCTCCCCGTCAGCTGACCTGCAGTCAGGTTGTTCATTACTAGGGGATATTTCATGGCCTGAAGACGCCAAGCAGGGTTTGGGGCTCTGGTGCAGCAGACATTTCAAAATTGTGCAGGGTTTCTCTTCATGGTAGCAGCAGCTTGTTCGTCTGGCACAGGTAATGTAACCTACAGGGCAGCAGGGATGAGCCTGACCTCTGTAGTTACACCCCTGGTGAAGTTCTGGTGGGATGTTTCATGCATCTGACCAGTGCAATGTCTTGGCAGCTCTACTAGAGATCGTTTCATATCATAGTGATACAAGAACAATCATGTTATAAAACAACCGGGGTGTCACTGTGCTGTATTAATACAGACATTTCTGAAGGGGAAAGAAAATAATATTTGGCAACAAGGACTGTTAATTTATTTATTTATTTGTAAAAAGAGTTCATAAGGACTTGAGTTTGCAAACTGTAGCACAGCTGGTATCACAGTTGACAGATCATTTAGCCTTTTCATTTCCATCTTTTCTTTTTAAACATCTAAATGCACTTTCTCTGTCTCCCTGAAATTGAGTTTTAGCAGTGTCTGTTAACCAGAAGCTGACAGGCTAGAAGAGGGCATTGCTTGAGGGTGCGTGGATTGGGTTGAACAGTGGAAGTGTGGGGAACTGGTGAGGTTAAAATGTTGAACCTGTGAGGGTGATGTGCAGGAGATTGGAAAGGATGAAGTTAAGACTAAGCACAGCCTGGATGAAGTTGCGGGATTGTATTGGATGCACATATGCTTGATTAGCCTCCATTCTCTCTGTGGAACAGATAAATGGCCAGTCTTGGTTTGCACATGGATCCTAAGCTATGTCTTGTTAATTTAGATTTAGAGTATCTTTGAGCTTGTACTGAAATTTGGTCTGTATGGATGGAAAGCAGACTAAGACATCTCTTAAGTTACATGCTGCATGTTTGTATATGTGTGCTTTTAAGGCAGGTGTATTTGTGTTGCCAGATTCTGACCTTTTTTGGGTGCAAAAAAACACCTCTAAAAATGCATTTGTATACCCACGTTGTTGAAATACGAGTTCGTACTGAGAAACACAGCAGCTGAAACAGGATAAAGTGGCAATTCATAGAATTCAGAGGAAACTGGATTACAACTAAAACTGAAATTGATACAAATGATTGGTGTTTAGAGGGCAATTGGGTGCCTCTTCCATTCTGATATCTTGTGTGCTATCTGCTGAGGTTTTTTCCACTGGTTTATATATATATGCTGGGTTGTATTGGTGGGATGAGTGATACATGGTGTGGAAATAACCATATAATTGCTTTGGGATCTAATTCATCAGAGGATTAAATATAATGTTTTTTTCTGGAATGGCAACAAATGAAAATGCCTATTTTTTTACTTTGCTTACAGTGGGGAAAATATCTAAATTGTTTGGCAAAGGATGTTGTTTCTGTGATGTAGCTGCTGTAGAGTAATTGCAGATCTTAACCTGTGTGTATTACTAAATCTTAATAGTAAGAGTTATTGTAGGAAATTAAAAAAGGATGTGGCATTCTTATTTAATACTTTTTTAAGAAAGCGTTCCCTTAAATTCCATCTTAGAAGTACTGTGGTTTTGGAGAAGTTAACATTAGGATATGGAGTTTTCTTTAATCTTTTCCTGTCTATTTTTCTTTAAGATGATGAAGGCTGTTGTAAACCAATGACCAAGTTTTTTTGGGGGGGGGGGTTAGGTTTCCTTAACAGGTGAAGAGACTGTCTGACTTGTTCCCATCGTGGATGATCTTGACAGTGAATCTACTGAGCCATGTCGTACAGTGCGGGTTTTGGGGATCCTAATCAACTTGCCCAGCGCATAACTTCTAACATCCAGAAGATCACGCAATGCTGTAAGTTGCATTTATGCATGTTTTATATAAAATTTTTAGAAATGGTGGTGCCCCTCCGTTTGAGGTTAGTTTCCCAGATTCATTCATGGGAATTCACTCTTTGACTTCACCTGCTCCTTTGACAGGTTTGTGGCATCCCACACAGCAGATCCAGCCCTTCGTATGTATGGTTAAGTGTGGTCTGTCCTGGGGAAGTATGGTGTCGCTCTGTGTTCACCAAACAAACACCTAATTAGTGAGATAGCTGCTGGTAATAAGCCAGTTTTGTCCTGGCCGGTTACATGGCACCTTAAGATGATAGGTTGAGATGTTTGCTGAGCCAGGATTGCATCAAATATTTGCTGGAGCTTGAATTGTTTAGCAGGGACAGAAGCTGTGGCCTTGCAGCTTGCCCTTGGAAACACATATTAGATATGTAAATAAGATTGTGCAAATTTTAATATACTTGTGCTTAGATTCGTGCCACCTAATTTTTTTAACCACCTAACTGGCCTGCCCAAGTTAGAGGTAAGTTTGGCTTCTGGGATTTTCAGTCCTTTTCCTTTTCCCTCCATTTTCCACTACATTTTTAATATCTGTGTGTATATATAAAGCAAACACAACTTGATCTCAGAAGTTACACAAAGTATAGTGTTCATCAGGAGGGAGCTAGCCATGAACAAGCATATGGCTAGGTTTTGGCATGCATGTTTTTAATGTTGTGCAGGACAGAATGTGCATGCAGAAACGGGTGGGTTTTTATTAAAACTTCAAATGAATTCTGATCGGTTAAGTATGTCAGTTTTAATAAAAACTTTGATCTTTGTCTTGCAAGACAAGTTTTAGGAGTTGGTATTTGTAGCACAGATTAGTGGCACAGATTGGGCTGTTGTCTACTTTTTCAGCTACATTTTGTGTTTTCTTCCAGAAAGAATTTATTTCAGTCTCAACAGAGAGGAAGAAAAATTGCACTTTATTGAAAAGTTTCTGTACATCAGGGCTGTATTTCTTCAAACTAAAATTAACAGATTGGGTCTGTAAAAGCCCTTATGCTTTGTTTCCTAAAATCTGCTCAGTGAATTCACTCAGTCTCATGACTTCTAACTTGGTCGTCCAGGGACACCTGCCAACCTGTGACAGCTGCTGAAGCTCTGTTGGCCCTTTAACTTGTGGGAGAAATACAGAAGAACTTCCTGAATTAGACAACACTCTGCTGCCGAGATTTCATAATACACCAGAGTTTCATAGGAAGCAGTATTGGTCAGAACGACAATCTTTACTGTAACACTTCCTCAGGGCTGAACTATTACACACACACATACTCTCCAAGTAATAAATTTTATCTAGTTCTTGATTAACTGTTTTTAATATACCATACGTACACAAGATAAAATAGAGCTATTAAATACCTCACATTTCATAATGCATCTACATGATGCTGGTGTCGTATTAATACCTGTGATCCTTAGGTCCCTTCTTTCCTATTTCATGCAGCCCACTGTTACTGATTGACAAGCAAAGCTCATCTCTGTGCTGGTTTAGCACACCACTTCAATAATTAAAGCTTCAAGACAGTATTGCGTTTGGTTTGGGCTGTGCTGTGGTAATGGAGAGAACCTATATTTGTATTTGGTAGCAGCTGGGTTAGCTTAGCACCCTTTTAACTTTAAAGAACAGATTCTGTTTATCTGTTGATCCAATCACTGGGTTGATTGTTTTGTTGAAGATGTGTTACAAGTTGTAAATTGTTTTCGCTGGTGATCTGCTACAGTAAATGCTATCTGTAGTGGGCTGTTTCAGTTTCTTTGGAGGAGAGGGTGTTTGTGGGTCATTTTTAGGACCTTGAAGATATAATTGAGCTACCTAACGGGAAGCAGCGTATGCTGCTGTCTGTACTCTGAGCATTCTTGGAAACTTACGCCAGGAGGGCACCTATATGTGTTCGGGATCCCAAATCCCAGAGTTTTCTGTGAAAAGAAGGTTCTTCCAGCTGTTCTTCAAACAAGGATCCTTGCTCTGTTTTGTGGTTCCAGCATTTCTGCAGAAATAAGTGATTATGACATCACTTAGCAACATCTAGGGAATGGAGTCTACTTTCCTCAGCCTGAAACTCATGTCTTGTCCGTGACATCTCTGAGCTGAGAGGTAGGGAACTAGTCTGTGGAGCGTTTCTCCATGCCTTTTGGTAAAACCGTTCCACTGAGCAGTCGGAATTGCAAAACTTAAGACTCTTCTTGACGTCCAGAGTAGAGTGGCAGGCCTCAGGCAGGAGAGGGAGAGTTCGGCTCTCAGACCCACTCCTAGCATTTTTAGAGAATCCATGTGACTCTAAGCGGTGCTGTAAAACCTGGTGAGCCTGAATCACATGTGCTTGAATGAGCTGCAGTGTTGTGTGCTGAACCTCGGTGAGGTCAGCAATGCCTGCAAGCTGTGTCTCCCTGGTTTGGTTTCGGGTCTCTGTTAACAGTGATAAGAAGCAGATCTGCAAACAGCTAGGGAAACTTCAGATTTAAATAACAAGACCAAAGAAGTATATAATGAGCTTTGGCACCTCTTAGGCTTAGGCAGCTACTAAATTTCTGTCTTACCAGAACACAACTTATGATTAAGGTTTTAAAGTCTGTCTGGAATCTGGTCCAGAGTAACCATAATTCTCATTCCAGGCCTATCTTATATATGATTATAAAATCTAGATGGTGACACACATTGTGTTAGACTTTTGAAATATGAATTTAAAGGTGGTTGAGGTTTGTCCCTAACTTTTTGAATATGAAGAACAGGAATATGGAGAACAGAATATAAGGAATGATGCAGGGTGTAGAGCTCCAACTTGTCTGGGTTTTGCAGATGGAGAACTTATTATAAAGGTGTTTTAATTGGTGTTTGCTGAAGGAGCAGTAGTTCCAGAACTAGGTTTTGTAGGTTACACTCTTACTTTTGTGGCAGCTTAATAGCAGCTGCTATTGAATGAAATCTCAATGCCTTCCTTCAATATATCCTTGAAATATTTTCTGTTGGTCACTCGTTTATAGCAACTAGATAGGTAAGGAATCAATGTGATGCACGGAAACAAAGTGAGCTAGCAAACAATATTTCTTTGTGACAAAACAAGTCCTGCCTGCTTACAGATCTGTATTTCTACCAGGCATGTTCATTTACCATACTAGGGATATGCCTAGTAGGATGAAAGGATTGAGTCGGTGTTGTGGTGTTTTTTTTCTTTTTTTTTTTTTTCCCCTCTTCCTCTTCTTGAAGAACATGTAGCAAGTTGCACAAGAGGAAATCTGATCTTTCAACAAATGGGAAGATGAAAGTAGAATAAGTAAAACAAAAACCCTAATTTAAAAGCTTTAAAATATGTTAATTTTTGACTTCTTGCAACTGGGAAGATGAGGGGGAGCAGTTTTTTCAAATCTGACCGTTTTCTGCATTTTAAAGCATTGATTCTTTGTGTATAGCAAAACGAGGGAAAGCATTTTGTTTAAAAAGATGTTCACAAGAGGGAGCAGAATGGGAGTTGAGTTCATCTACAGGAACAACTCCACAGTTCTGAGAGTAGGAAGGATATTGTTAGAGGAGTAGTGGCCTCTTCTACTCTGCTGTGAAGATTTCACTTGTGTCTCTGACAGGAACTGTGCAAGAAGTAACCAGCCGTGGTTTTTTCCTCTCCCCACATACATCTTCTCAAGTCTCTGTCCTGTGGGGGAGGGGGGGGTTATTGAGGAAGCAGAGTTGTATGCCTTTGTTTTGCTTTGCTCCTAATATTGTCTTTGTAGCTACGAATATGCCACTCTGTGCAATCCCCAAAGCAAAGTAAGAACAATACAGGCTAGATGGACAGCTGTTGTGTCTCCACTGGCGTCTTAAGCCAGACTTTGGGAGCTGTTGATTTAGAAGCAGTTTAGAATGCTGCCCTTTTGCTTGGGAACACAGAACAAAGCTTGGCGTTGATAAAGTACACCCAGTCTTTGAGTTTTGGAGCATTTCTCGTTTGCAGACTGTAATCAAACAGTTACAGAACCTACACTAACTGAAGTGAGGCATTCATATTCCCTCCCTACCTCTCCCTTCCCAGCTCTTCCAGTTTATAAAGGTTGTGGCAGGATTTTGTGCAGTGGTAGTTGCAAAGTCAGTAAGAATGGCATAATCTACCCTTGCTCAGTATTGGCAAGGGCAGTGATAGAGTATTTGACTTGTTCATACACACGGAAAATCAGCCCAGCTGGGGAAACATACTCTCTGCATACTGTAAGTTAATAAAAATAAAATAAAATATGGTAAAATAGTGTAGCCGCAATCCACGTGTGGCTAGAAGGAGTCTGCCTGGCTTTGAGAGAGTCTTTCTCCTAAGGACTCTTGCTTTCTGCTGACTTGCTTTTCTGTTTGTTAAGGCAGTACAAACATCAGTTCATATAGAGCACATTCCCAGAAGGTCAGCTTCAGCCAGCCGAGATCCCTGTCATGTGATGCCTCTCCTGGGACAGCAAGTTTGTCCAATTTCTGTTGCATTCCAAGCTTTCTGTACAACAGAATTTTCACTGAGTGTTGTTAAAATGGGAATTGAATTACATCCATCATGTGACTTTACCTAACCATATAAAATCATAAACATAGATTAAACCCTGAAGAATAGTAGAGTTCTGATATATGCCTTTCTGTTGTGGTTTAAGTCTTTAAGTCCAATGGGTAGCTAAAACGTTTAGGTAATACAGGCTGAAACATTAATGAAAAGCTATGTCTGCCACTATGTTTGTAACACCAACAGATCTGCATGATGGTTTTTTAGCTGAAGAAGGATACAGATGGGCAAGTGAAAAGTAACTGAAATCACTGAGGTGTTGAAATCAGAGCCTGTATGAAAGCAAAATTCTGTTTTGTCTATATGCAAAGCGTGGTTTTGTACAGGTGTGGTTTTAAAGCAAATAGACTTAAATTAGAGCTTATTGAGACTTTTAACAATGATATTGTCATAAAATTCCAATTAGCTGCAGTTAACCAGAATTTTAACTTTGTGGGAACAT